AGATCTAAGGCCTTCTTGCTGAACGATGGAAAATTGTAAACCGTGATCATGGCCTCACTTGCCAACTGATTCCTGAGCTCTATGGGGGGGACACACCTCAGGTAAGTGGTAAGTAAAACTTGTGGGTCGTAGTGCACTCCAGAACACAGATCAGACGCTCTACCTCATCCATGGCATCCCTTACTGACTTGAACTTCCTTGAGCTCAAGGTCAATTATCCGTCGGTGGCCTTTTGAGGCTCCTGCGGGTCATGCCACCTTTCCTCCACCAGCTTGATGAAATCATCCAGTTTCTGGGTGACTGCCCAAGCGCAAAAGTCATGACTCTACCCCTGTAACTGCACGTACCCGCTTAACCACCTCGCTGCACTAACTTCCAGATAAGAGGCAGCCACAAGCACTTCCTCGTGAGGGAAGGTTAACTTGCACTTCACATAGACTAGCACCCTCCTCACCCATGTGTCGAGGTCCTCACCCTTCTTATCTCCTGAGAAGGGTTTCGATGATGCGATGGCAGTCTTTGAACCCATTGTCCTTGTCCCAATACCTGCACAAATCTAGGTTGTGTGGCCTCGGATGCAGGCTGCTGCACGTGCTGCTGTTGGGACTGTGTGCCCTGCGCCTGTGCTGGCTGCAAGACGGCCGGCTGCCCTGCTAAGGCAGTCTGCAACGGAGGTTGGGAGAACACTGTCTGGACAGGAATCTGTACACTAGGACCTACTGAGAACCCACCTGTCAAAGGCATAACCAGATGGGAAGCGTGCTATACCGTAGCTGGAGAAACTGTGAATGGGACTACTCCAGTTACCGGTGGGACAAAAGGAGGAGGTTTTACCACGGGCCAGCCACCTGGCCGAGATGGTGATGGTTTGACCTGCGCTCGCCCGGCAAACACGTCCACGCTCTTCTAAATGTCTTGCAAGAGAGACGTATGTTAGTCCTGCATCTCCAATACGTCTAGAAAGGTTGTCCTAACGGTCCTTACATCATCATCCATGTTTGTCAGGTCCATCTCCTCTAACTCGCTGACGTCCGCTTGTCTCCGCTGCATGCTAGATCTACATATGAGAATTGTCTCTTTCTTTGTCTGTATCTCATCCAATGCCTGCTGTAGCTGGGCCTCACGAGGACTTGCTCGCTGGATGGCGACCTCCTCAAGAGTTAACATTGTCTGCTGGTTTGCCATTACACTGGTGAACGGACTCTGGATTTGTGCGAAGATCGCCCCGACAGTCCCTGAACTACTGGACGGGGAACTCTGCTGCGATGGGGTGGCAATGGTGGCTGCTTAGGTAGCTGCCTCCCTCGCGAAAGCTCTGCTTGCCTTTGCATCCCTCACAAACCTTTGCTGCCGCTGCCTCTCCCTAGCCTGATGGAACAGAAGACGGCCTCCCTCGGCTCCTAACGCTACGTGGACCAATCGGAGTCTACAGCTTCACGAACGCAAGATCCGACCGTCCGGCTCAGGGTTCTCCCTGTCGCTCATATGCTACAACACTGTACACTGTCTGCACTACGCCACACTCGGTTACCTACCACAACCTAGTACTCAGACCGATTTAAAATAATAAAAATAAATAATCGGTGGCCTTGTCAGATGGTATACATTTAGGTTCAACAGGTAAGTCCACATTCCTACAAACGAAACTATTTTACTTGACTAGTCCGCAAACAGAAAGCAAATAAGAAGAAACAGATAGTTCTACCTATGCTGACTGCCAGATGTGTTAATGGCTGTAACATCTAACTAATCGAAGTAAAAATAGAATCATTTGTATGGCCGTTTGCAGAGTGGAATTGTTCCCAAACTTGTCACATGAAATTTACCCCTCCTTCAGTTCTCGATGTCACTTGACGTCAACGTTCGTGAGCAATCAGGATGGAGCTCGTGTCTAAAGGTGTGCACGGCCCACCCCTGTGCCCTCAGTCAATGCTGAGCTGGCCAACCCTGTACCATATTTACCATCGCATGCAGCGAGCCTTACACCGACCGATTGGCTAATCAAGAGGCAGTTTAAGGATGGCCCCCAAGGTCATCAGAAACTATTTAATGTCGCAAACAAGACCACGATCACAGCCAATGGAAGGTAACCCGCCGGTATTTATTTATAGACGTTCGGTTCTCATCTCCCCGGTAGGGCTGGCCTGCCCCTCACGACCTATCTATAGCGCAGCAGGCAGACAGTACAAAGTGGCAAAGCATGGGTGCTCTACTCCCGGTGGGTTGGCATGGTGACCGTGACCCAATGCTTCCTCCAGGGCCCTTCAGATGGCAACACCCTCTCCTTCCAGATGCTCCACGTGAACAATGCTGACTCTCAAGGTTGAGCGCAACTCGACTCCTCACATGAGAGGACTCTCAAGACAGAAAACATCCTCACGGTAAGAAGTGTCGAAGAGGGTAGATAAGGTTAAGAGTTACGTACCTCAAGATCGCTGCCCCAACCACAGATATTCTCACCAGATGACCTGACATCGATTGTGATGACCAATCATTGCCTTGGCAGAACCAGCATTATATCGCCGTTCCACCTCATCACACTGCGAAACACCCAATATCATCACTCAGCCTTCCTTGCAATACACCTCTCCACCTGGGTCGCCTGCTTACCTTCACCCTCCTCACTGCACACAACCCACGGTCGCTCACCCAGCTAACTGTGTGCATGCACCGCATACGCAGAAGACAAGCGCCAGATTAGCGCAACATACCACAGCTCTGATACCAAAATGCAAGGAAAATGAGCTATAGCGAATTCCAGAAAACCAAGCAGCATCATACACATGAAACCAGATGGTCTTGACCTCGAACGAAAAGCAGAATTGAGTTCCACCAAATAAGAGTACAGCAAAAGCTCACAAGTGACAATGTTGGAATAGTCTCATCATCATCAACAATGAACCAATGTCGAATCCCTATCTGGCGCTCAGCGCCCAGACCGCGAATGGCAGATCCTATCTAGCCTATCTACAATGCCGCTGGTGACGTCGACAGCTTCCCGAAGTATGAGCAGATCTCGGCCAATGCCGTTCGCATAGAGCACCAGGCATGTCCCTCGCTTCCCTCACATGAAACCAAGCAGCATCATACACATGAAACCAGAGAGTCTTGACCTCGAACCAAAAGCAGAATTGCAACTCGAGTTCCACCAAATAAGAGCACAGCAAAAGCTCACAAGTGACAATGTTGGAATAGTCTCATCATCATCAACAATGAACCAATGTCGAATCCCTATATGAAACTGAGCGCCCAGACCGCGAATGGCAGATGCTATCTAGCCTATCTACAAGGCCACTGGTGACGTCAACAGCTTCCCGAAGTATGAGCAGATCTCGGCCAATGCCGTTTGCATCGAGCACCAGTCATGTCCCTCGCTTCACTCACAACCTCGATCCTCCACACAGATGCCACATGCACCCAAGGACCACCACACGCCCCATCCAACAATGCGCAGGCCAGCTCGGCTATGGCTGTCTGCTTCTTCCCTGCTCGCCCGTGAGCGCGTAGGCACTCGCTCCAGCAGCTGGCGCAGCAGCGCTTCCGCATAAGCAGTGAGTGCCCGAATGTCTGGCCAACGGCCAGGCCCTTTCCCTTATGGAAAGTGGCTGCCAGCCGTGGGCTGCCTGGCTGGCCTGGGCCTCCCCACGGAAGCTTCCAGTAGTCTCCAAGTTGCTGAGCCCCTGTAACAGGGAATCTTCCACAGGGCCTGGGGTGGTTACCCGTGTCCAACTGCCAGTGGCCTGTGTTCAGTTCATGCCCAATGTCTGGCCCAGGGCCTGCCTCAGATACATTCGGAAAAGGGCAGGCAGGGCCTGGGCTCACTCAACCAACTGACGTGCGCAACTGCCTGAATTTCCCCCAATCGCGTCAAACATAAACAGGCCTCACGTCACTTATAGGGCTTTCTGAAGTTTTTAGCCTCGCATACACCTTTCTTGTATAATAATTATAATTTTGGAGACGACTTCTTTATGTGTTGATTGGACCTCACATCCGGCTTCTTGGTTCATTTCAACTGATTCTAAGCAAACCTATAAATAGGAAATCCCCCGCATGTCAGAACGAGACAAATAACTGTGAAGGACACTCCGGCTTAGTTATTTATTTACTTATTTATATATAATAATAAAGCAACTCGAATTGGAGAGCCGTGTGATGGGCACCATTTCGCACGGACCGGAAACCACTTGTTATAACTGTCTAGGCTTGAGTATTCGAGCCGAGTGGTGACACTCTTGATTCTATTCGTGTTTCATTGAAATTATGTACCTGCAATGAAATGGGCAGGAAATGCTGCCCTTACGGGTACCACCCTTGAGTTTGTTCAATTGTTTCAGAAGCAAGTTCCTGCACCCATAGTTTAGTTGGTTCAAAAGCAAAGATCTGTAAAAGAAAAGAAGTGTACCTCTCCCTTGTCCTCTGCTGCATGGGAGCACGCTGGCCGTGGGGTAGGAGCAGGGGAGTGGGCGAAAACAAAGACAGCGATGAGTGATGGAGGCGGAGCGATGGGCACCTCCAATGGAATTCAGGCGGAGCAATGGACACCTCCAACGGAATTCATGAAAGAATGGCCGCCCAAGGGAAAACTGGCATTTGAAGTTGAATGCCCAGAGATCCCCTGCACAGCCTTCTTGGGTTACGCAGGCCCTTATCTCCGCAGAGGATCGCCTTTGGTCGAAGGCATAACTTCCAAAAAAGAGAACAGAGTTCTACCAGACTCCAACTTCGTTTTCTGCACCATCGTCTGCCCATTACCTACAGCAGCCGGCCTGGGGGCCTCCTGGGCCCGATCGGCATTCTGACATATTTCGCGTGTGATGGCCCACTGACACGTCAGGACGGGCCGCCCAGCCAGTAGTCTAGATTCAAGCACATTGCCAAAGCCCCACACGTGTTACACCATCCCATTCTTGGTGCCTTGCTATGCTTCTCACGTTCATAAATCAATCTGAGATGTTCACCAATGAGCAACAAATATACAGACATGGAATACAACTTGCCTGGTGGAAACGGTGCCATTGATTTTCCACAGCCACTCAGGAGCTCAGGATCATCAGCAAATGCAAGTGACCCATCGCTGGTCGTGCCCCACCAAAGGGGCACTCTCCCCTCTGAGTCCTGTCCACAGCCAGGCGCCAAAGCTGTCAGATGCCTGCCACACGCTTTCTGGACAAAACATACGTTACTTGGCAAACATAAAGACATACAATTGACATTCCTCAACAAATTCAGGGCCATGCATTCAGCTGCACTGGGTTAGAACGACAGCAGAAAGGAAAGAAGAGGGAGGGAAGGATGGGCTGTCGAAGGCAAACAAGGAGACCGGGAAGGAGACACACAAGGAGACAGCAGGAGACGGAAACAGAGACACAAGGACACGAGGAAGGAGAAGGATAAAGAGGAGGGAAGATGACGATGGGGATGGGGATATTCAATCAAATTACATATTCAAGTAACTTAATGTAGATAAAACATATTCTGTGCAGATCGAATTACATATTCAAGTAATGGGGATATTCAATCAAATTACATATTCAAGTAATTTATAATGTAGATAAAACATATTCTGTGGACATCGCATTACATATTCAAGTAATTTATTTATGTACACAAAACATGAACGACAGCAAAACTTGTTTGACGCACTGAGATGGGGAAGGAGACACAGATGGGGATGCAGAAGTAGAGGGTAGAAAAGATGAGAGCAAGGGAAGGCAGGAGGATGGAGGCGATGCTGAAAAGAGGTGAGGCTGCAAATGTTGAAAGGAGGCCAGGAAGTAGACAGCCCACCACAAACACTGTTCTGATCAACATTTGCATCATCATAATTCCATTCCAGCTTCACAACTGGCTGCAGGGAAGCTAGTGTCCGTACATTGTTGTGCTTCTGCACGTGACATGTTGGCCAAAAAAATGTCCACAGAATGACTGTGATATTGTTGTGCTTCTGCAAGTTGTCATGTTAGCCAAGTGTTGTAATTCCGCCACATTTACACATGTTCGGTTGTTACCAAGACCGTCTGTAAGTTTTTTGTTGTCACAAAGTACTGCATGACAGTATCTACAGTTCCTTCTCTGTATTCTCAGGGTGAGTAAATGCAGACCAAAACGATACACGCCTTATTCTTTCTCTGGTGGCAAATGCAGGTTTTATTAAGTGCAACGTTTCCTACCAACTTGCCGCGAAGGTAACAAACCATGACCACGAATGCATTCAAGCCCAGCCTGATTCCGTCATATTAAGGGTCTGCTGTGTTCAGGTCGTCACGCATCCATTCGCAAATATAAGGAACCGACGACTCAACAGCGAGAAAAAGGCAGGAGGTATCCAAGGCAGCTTACACGGCACCGTACAATCATTCCTTTTGCTTTTTTCCATTTTGCTATTTCCACAGTTTTACGACCCAACAGCGAGAAAAAGGCAGGAGGTATCCAAGGCAGCTTACAAGGCACAGTACAATCATTCCTCATGCTTTGTCCATTTTGCTATTTCCACAGTTTTTCCTCCTGGCTTTTTCCGTTCGTTCTCAAACTCGATTGCGCCTTTGAGGTGCAACCTTCCTTACATATCAGTACCCATCTTTTGCTATTTTCACAGTTTTCTTTCCTTCCTTCTCTTTGACTTTTCCTTTTATTTTCAAATTTGGTTGCACCTTTGAGGCGCAACCTTCCCCACATATCAATACCCATCTGCCATGAGATCATGCTACCACACGGAACATATGTACGAAAAAGGTGACATGTGAAAACGTATACGATAATTGTGAGCACACGTGTACTGATTCACAAGAAAATGCCACGTGATATCCGAATCGCCTGGCGTCAAAAGACAGACAAGCACAGGCCTGCTCACATCAAGAGGGAGTAGGGGAAGGTGTTTCCAGAACGTATGAATGGAGGGAGGAGCTGCAGCAGTTCGCACACATCAAATATTGACAGCGTAAGTGTCGATCAAGAACGTTCCATCGAGAAGAACAAGTAATCAATTTGTGATTCAAAAAATACAGAAAGAAATGGATCTTTTGAGAGGCTGTCCACCATAGTAAATGAACGGCGAAAGGAAATTGCAAAACACAGTCATTGAAGGTGTTCATGGCATCATTTCATGACGGTTTACTCGATAACGTCTAGCAGATCGCATGAAACAGGGGAAGTATTGCAAACAAAAAAGGAATGGATTTACAGAATGTATAGAAGGTTGAAATCCGGCAATGATAGGTAGGAATAAATGTTGAAGAGCACGAATGTGAGAAAAGCAGGCGGTAGAAAACAGTACAATATTGAAGTTTTGTAAACAGAAGAGGTCATTCAAATTCGCAAACATTCTGGAGCTGCCGTTCCCGCAATTATCTTCTGGCTCTCTCTCTCTCTCTCTCTCTCTCTCTCTCTCTCTCTCTCTCTCTCTCTCTCTCTCACGAAGGAATCAATCCCTACCGACTTAAGCGGAGTATCAAGCCAGCAGACCATCACACCAGCAATTCCCAATTACAGTTGTGCCTTGGAGCAAGCACACATCATATACGACAGTTCCTCTGCCACCAACGTGCCGCAGCCACGGCAAACGCCACAAACCAGGTCCGATGCCGTTTGTCATCAAAAGCAGCATTTTCTGTCGACAGAAAAAAGGCAGGAACCAAACAAAAAACGACGCAACACTCTGCCAGTTCCACACGCTCAAACACACACACGCATAGAAGCAGACATACTTCAACCTCGGACTTCGGATATCAAATCGAAAACTGCCATCATGGCCCGTGCGCAAGGGTGACACTCATCAATCGAGAATTGGTCCAGATTTTCGAGTTTTGGGGAAGGGGGAAAAAAAAGCCGCAGCACTGAGGCATGCTCCAACATCGGACCTCGGATGTCAAATCAACAACTACCACCAATCACTATTTCTGTATATCCTCAACCCCAATCCAGTCTATATGATCAATGAGGGAGAGAAAAGAGACAGCCAGCCCTTTTCCAGGACATGACGAACGTTCGTTCTCAGGAAACAAAAGGACTCACCGACGCAACGAAGATAGTCTTCGAGGAGTTGTCAAATGTGATGAACGCAAAGCCTCCCTTCAAGTGCCCAACGGCTTGATCAGCCGGATACGGTGCCCGATCACGGAGCACGCGATACACCTCCAAGCAGAGCATCTGATCAGTGACGCTCTTCCCTAGTCCGTACTGCAACCTCAACTGAGCGAGGTTGTCAAGAGTTCCCTCAAAGATGGTAAATATGTTGTCAACGGAGCCGAACGACCTGCCAGCCCAAACGCAAGGAGAATAGACAGACGAGTTGGGAACAAACCCAAAAAGGAAATTTTGGACAAAGAGAAATGGTCGACAAAAAGGAAAATCCCGAAAAGCCGACCACCAGGCAAAAGTGAGAAACATTATTCAACGCATCAGATAAAATCCTTCACTCGATGCCATTCGTGTTCCAAATTCATATTCTGCTCCCGCTGCTTTCCTGAGATCAATGACAAGCTTGACAGCGGCACGCACATACCCACCCGAACGTTCATGTGCCCGCATTTTTCAGAAGCACAAAGAGAGAACCGAGGAGCGATTGGTCCGGGGTATACACCCAAATATCAGAATAACCGATCGCGCAAAACGTGTGACAAGAAATTGTCATACCAAGATGACAAAAAAATGTCATACCAAGACTATCTCATTAACAGCGATGCCAGACCTTCCCTAACGGAAGATCCAGTGCACTCATTACACCGGCCTGCAGTAAACGCGCTTGAAATGCAGCAAATGTTGGACACGCGCAGACATGCAAGAAAAGTGGGGCGCTTTCACCGCCAAACCGATGGAGAGGCGGAACTTTCTCGCTTGTGTAGATACGTGGAAACCACATCTCGAGGAACTGAACTTCAATAATACCCGAAAATTAAAAAAAAAAAAAAACTGAACACCATCAAGTGAAACCAGAGGCGTATCACACTCCGAAAAACTGTCAGCGGCGACATAGCGCCGCATTCTTATATATACCCTTAAATATTGAGCTCAGCGGCTTACAGCAAAAGATCTGGATTGTACGTTATACACGCATAATCCTTGAAATAACCCTGAACTGCATATACCGCGATAACCCTGAACTGCATACCGCCTTAAGTCTGTGCCACAGACATCACCGTCCTCATTACACGTCGCTACACATCATGTGCTGCTCTTAAAAAAACAGCAATGGTACCAGAGGACTTGAGAATAAGCAAACCCGCGTAACTCGAACACGCGAAGTTCTCAATCAACCAAAACGTCCAGAGAGGGAGGAGCCAGCCCTGCAGAAGAGCAAATCTACCATGGAAAGGAAAAGGAGGACAGCGGTACTACATATCAATGCATCCAGCGATACGAGATGTCGATCCAACGACCGACACCGTTGGACCACAAAAGCATTCGACGAGCTCCAGAAAGACATCGAGGGCGACCAAAGAAGAGATCCTTGCAAAGATCAAATAACGGCCATGCCATGCCATGCCAGAAAACGTAACATGAGGTCCGTCTGAGAGCCCATGCATGTAGGCCTTATCCTTGGTGTCTGCGACTGGATCCGTAAAGTCACACTAACAGCACAGGTGAGGCAGATCACTGCGGAGAGCGACTGAAATAGCCGCCGAAGGACGGGTGCAGAAGAGCTTACTCAGCTACATGACGTTCATCGATGGAATGAATGCGCTTTTCGTTAGCGGTCGTGCACGCCCCCAAAACCAGCCGGGATAAGCATTATGCACGTTTATACACATACGGTAAGCGCGCGGATTATGGTTAGGGAGAAGAACGCGAATGACTTCGATCGTATCGCCGGAATCCACTGATACACCTGATCAAAATATATGTACCTCGCCGATTCCCGTTCCCGCACAGATCATGCATATGGCAGTCGGCGCGGCCAGGTGCATTCTGGTAGACGCCAAGTTGCTAACAGTGGCGAGTTCGAATACTGACAATTGCAAAACTTAAACGTGGCAATTGGGTGCTTCTACGATATACGGTTATTATTCGAGATTATAATGTGTCACATACAGGGACGAACGAGTCAAAATCCCTGGGAGGTTCATACTGAGACTGGCGCAACAAGCGGGAAAAAAACAAAAGTGGAAGCACACTTGCTGGGGACTTCGCCTTGAGGTTGAACCACTCGAATACCACACAGGCGCTACAGGAGAAGTCCCATAAACCGAGCCCCAGGTCACATTTTCCAAGAAAGAAACCCATAAACACAGTTGTGAAGTATAGAAATCCTTGCCTTGCTGTTGGAAGCTGAGACTCCCAATGAAAGGCTTTTGCTTTTCTTCCATTCTCCTTTCCTTGGAGAGCTTTCAATCCCATGCGACACAGGACCTCAGTCATTTCTTTCAAACGGGTAGGTTGTATGGGATTCCCGGACCCATGTTGTTCATATGAGACATGATGGTTACGGTTCTCCAACGTGAAAACAAACACACAAACAAACAAACACCAAAAGAGAAACAACACCAACAGCAGAACTGGCTGATAGACCGGAACCTTGGATGCTGTACGCGAGACAGACCGTCAATGGAGGAAACGGAAAAAGGGCACATCGCATACTCTGAAAAACACACATACATTCCCTGAAAGACAAACATTGGAAAATAGACGAAAACCAGACCGCAAAAAAACTCCAAACTGCGGAATCTCCCACATATGTCCACATTTTTTCAAGCACGAGGACGATACATGCATGTTTGCTCTTACTTCCTGCATCAGCACTTGCTGTACACTCTGAAAAGTGTTCGATCTGGCAAAGAGGTGAAAGGCAACACCATCAGCAGAAATCAAAGAACGCATGACTGGTGTTCTGCTAGACCTGTGTGTGATTACCAATAGTAAACACGAAAATTAACTTCAAAAAAGCGGAGCTGACACAGTTCATGGCGAAGCCTGTCCGCACATAGGCACAAAGAACAGTAGAAAAAGAGGAAAAAATAGAAAAGCAAGGACGCAAACCGTATCAGTGAGAGCCAACACTCCGTCGGAGGAGAGTACATGCAGTGTACCAAGGAAGCGGAGAAGGAAGAGACAAGAGTCGAATATACTTACGAATGCGGGGGACAGGAAAAGTTGAGATCGGACCAAGAGAGGAACACGCAACAGGAACAGAGGGCCAAAGGGGGAGAACAGGGGCCAGACAGAGAGGACGGAAGAGGCAGACGGGAAGAGAGTGGGAGGGAAGAGAGTGGGAGGGAAAGTAAAGGAGAGGGGAAAGGAAAAGGGTAGGGTAAGGAGAATAGAGAGGGCGCGCGGCACGGAGGAGAAAGATAAATGCGAAGTTTGAGCGCCGGGAGAGGTTCGAGTCACAGACATATAGACGACTGAGGAAAACGGCCGAGTAGTGGGAAGAAAATACAGTGAGACGAAAACTGCAGAGGGGAAAGAAAGAGGGAGGATATTCAGAGAAATAAAGGCAAAAAAAATGACGGGGCAGAGGGGCGAGGCCTTGTTTCCTGAACTATCGGCGGATAAGCGAAGGCCCAGGGGAGAGAATGGCAGAGGAAGAGCACGATAGGCGTAGAGATCGGCTATAGGAGAAGTAACAGTAAGAGAGACATAAAGACAGGCCTATAAACGGCCGAAAGGCAAAACAAGATGAACAGAGAGAAGAAGACACACAGAAGATGAAACGGGCGACGACCGAGAGGCAGCCAGAACCAGGGGGAGGCAGAAAAGGGGAGCTCCAGAGTAAGAGAAGACAAAAAGGGTCAGAGAGCAATGCCTTCTTTCGACGGGACGATCGATAGGCGAGGGCGAAAGGCAGAGAACGGCGGAGGAAGAGTATGATAGACAGCGTCCAGAGGCATAAAGGCAGGCGTACAACGGTCGAAATGCGGGATAAGACAAAGCGTAGAATAACTAAACAAGGCGGAACACCGACAGACAGGAACCGACGGTCAAAGAAGAAGGGAACAGCAAACGATGTAGAGGGACGGGCTATAAGAAACAGGAAATAGACACGAGTATGACAGCAGAAACAGGGTTATAAAGACGCATTTAGGCAAGACTGGGAGATAAGCAGACAGCGGCAAAATAGAGAGACTGGGCGAGAAAGAAACGCTGGCAGAGACTAGAAGAGCGGAAGAGGGTGGGTGACAGCGGGATTGGTGATCAGGAGAGGAAGAGAGAGTGGACGGGAAGAAAGGAAGTCGATAACGGGGGAAAGATTATAAGAAATTGGAAAAAGGAAGAGGGAAGAGTGTCCACAAGTGTGGGACAACCAGGTAATGAACAGGAATATAGGGCAGTTTGCGTATTTCTCATGCAATCCTCGCACACTCCACAGATCGGACCACCCAACCCTGTTCAACGCTGTGGTACTCTTTTTCGAATTTTTCACCCTACAGTGCCCCCGTGCATCGATTGTCATACATACCTGGGTTTCAAGAGATTCTGCCTCTCGAGCGTGTAAGCTACAGCGTTTTCGGAATCGAAAGAGACGATAACCGCCTGAGGGTTTCCTTGCCTGAAGGCGGTGATCAAATCCCGCCCATGGGCGCCATCCGCCGCCACCATGGGGCCTTGCGCGTGAAGCTCAGCCGGTCCCTCGGCCACCTCCTTGTGAAACACAGCAAGCATCTTCGCAGTGATAAATTCGCGCAATGGATGGTCCGACCTGTTTTCTCGCCTTTCCTAGCCCTGCCTTCGGCAGTAAGACAATCGACCACAACCACATGCACAGAGAGAGAGAGAGAGAGAGAGAGAGCAGAATGTTTCGACGAAAGAACTGCAAGCAATGAACGAGAGAGGACGAAGACGCGAGCGCAATGGAGTCCCTGCGCTTGGTGGACCGAACTGAAGGGCCTGATTTGCACCACTCTCGCTCTCGTACCGGTGAACAGTTCACGACTTCCAGCTTCGACAACGATTTACACCTCCCATGGCGCTGTGGACGACACACACGTGAGTCTGACTGCGTAACGCCCAGTTCCAGCTCCTGAATATCTAGTAGCCGGGGATAATCAATGATCATCCTGACTTCAGTCCCGCCGGCAGCACTCGGAGCATACGCTCTGGATGTGATCACGCTGAGGGGTGGACCCCACTGCCTGCCGGAAAGCTTCCGCCAAACCCAAATCGTAGGCCCCGGCGATGGGAAACAGAGAAGCGGACCCCACTGCAGCACAAAACTTCGGCAGGTACGTCGTTGCTGGTTACCCGATAGGGAAACTTTTCCCTATACAGAAACTTCACATCCGCTTGTCTCGGTGCTCGTCCAATCCCTGGCTCTCCGTCCCACATGCTATGCGCGAACCGAGGGGGGTGCCCCGCCCCTACCCCCTCAGGATGGCCGAACCGCAAGGGACGGGCAAAACCAAACTGAGTGGAATCGCTTGCCACGTCGTTTGTCAGCGTTTTCCGAAGCTTCGCCGCGAAGCAGTGGGTCTCACAAACCGTCTTCCAAAGCTTTGAGGCAAAGCGGTGGGGTCCACATCTCAGATTCATCCAAGTTTGCACTCACACTAGCACTTTTCTAAATGTATCTGACGGCATTTGCTTCCGGACCCGGATGAATGTGGCTGCAATGAATAAGAACAAAAGTTCCAGTGTGAGTCACTGTAGGCCGCGCGCGGGAAAAAAGCCCAAGTCGAAAAAAGGAAAAATCGGGATCTCGAACTCTCGTCGACCAAGGGCCTCGCCCCACCCCTCACGAAACAAAAAAATGCGACTGTCCTTCGGGACATCCGTTAAAATTGGAACGATACAGAGAAGGAAGATTAGCATGGCCCCTGCGCAAGAATGACACGCATAAATCGAGAAATGGTCCAAATTTAAAATTAAAAAAAAACAAAGTGGCTGCATCTTTGGACAGAACGCGGCAAGATGCATGCTATAAAGAGTACCGCATGTCTCTGCGGGGAAGATGCACTCACAGTGGTGTTCGTGTAGCGAGTAGCGCGGCGAGGCCATACGGATTCGTGGGCATAGATATCGGGGGAAAAAAAAGAACCGCCGGTTACACTGACGTTGGCCGACACGTCACTGGCTCACTTTTTTTTTTTTTTTTTTTTTTTCCTAAAGGCTAATTCTTTAAGCCCAACCAATTCAATTACCTGTCAAATCTGGACAGGACGCCTTTCAGGCCTTTTTTATTGTCATTATAGTATTACGGGGAACCCCGTAGCAGCCACATCCGTGCTCAAGCCTCCAAGGAGGGAACATGCGGGAGCTGCACCCACCAGCAGGTGCGATACCTGCTACAGCAGGTGGGCGATACCGGCCAGGGGTCAGCCGGCCACATCCGTGCTCAAGCCTCCAACGAGGGAACATGCGGGAGCTGCACCCACCAGCAGGTGCGATACCTGCTACAGCAGGTGGGCGATACCGGCCAGGGGTCAGCCCGTAGCATCAGGACCGAGCTTCTTCGATGGGCCAGTCACTGTGCCTCCCCTCCGGTCCCCTCCCCCTATGAACATCAGCAGTCTCTGCTCAATGCCACTCGGGGGGACAAACGGCATATCTCTAGGTAGCGGGCGCCAAGCTTGCCCAGGAAGGTACATGAAGCCAATGGGAATTGAACCCAAAACCTCCTGAATGCTACTTGCGTGCCTTACCAACTGAGCTAGGCCGCTGGATCCACTTGTTTCTTGGCTGAGGCATACTTCTTTGCTTTTTTTTCTTTTCTTTTTGGCCGAGGCATACTGATCCCAGAATCGCGAAATCGGTGGCCAGATTAAGTCCTTTTTTTAGACCGACTTGATCCGGCCGCTGATTTTGCCATTCTGCGATTACAAGGGCCTGGTGTGAGTATACTCTGACCGATGGGAGTCTGGCTCATTTATCACACGGGGTCTCGGCCCACATGCGAAGTTCGCAGCCCATAGGTTCCGCTATACCTCGTCGTTTTGGCATAGGGACAAATAGTCATTGGGACAAATGGTCCTTGTGCACCAACCGGTCGTTCGTCGGGCACTAAGGTAGTGAGGAGGGTGGCCAAAAAACAGAGGAGGGCTGAAAGTGGGTCCGGAAGCAGTCGTTGCCAAAAACAAAGGACGCAGACCGTTTTTTTTTTGTATGTGCGCCCCCACCAGTCTTTGGGTAGGCTGGGTCTGCTAAGCCTGATTTTTTTTTTATTTTTTTTTTCAAAAAGGTAATACCTTTATTACTCACAAGTGGACCGCGCCACGGCTACGCCGTGGCGCACAGCAACACTCGCTGATACCCTGTCTCTCTCTCTCTCTCTCTCTCTCTCTCTCTCTCTCTCTCTCTCTCTCTCTCTCTCTCTCTCTC